GGAAAGGCTGTTTTGGACTTGTTTTTAACGCTTTGGCGCAAGTTCATGGGATCAGCGTGAACAGACAAACTGTTGGATTTCCCCCACTTCAGTACCAATAATTTACCCTTCCCCTTCTTTGCCCTCGCGCGACGGGTCTTTTTGAAGTAAAAAAAATGTGGACGGAGTTGGGCTGTGTCGACTGGTATCAGATTGAATGCTGCAGAAACAGCCATGGTAGAAATGACCAATTTTTGCAAACATAGTTCACCCCCAGATTGTCCGTCAATGGCGCACTTCGATATACAGGGGGGGGGGGCCAAAAAAAAAAAGACATTTTGCCTATGTCGGACTTCGGCTCTTTTTTCTTCGCAGAGATTGCTGTCGTTGACGGGAGTTCCTCAGCAGAGTATTCCCTAAAGTGTTCTATAGTGTACGCAGGCTCTCCTTCACTGCCCTCACCGTCTTCAGAATATGACGTCATCTGTCACCGTCGTCAGGCTCAAGGAGGTCTACCGTAAGAGCTTCAGCCTGAAGCTCTTACGCAATTTCGTGAATCGATTTAATGTTGGATAGTTTTCTAGAGGCATTAGCTACCACTGTGCAAATCCCCTCGGAACTAGCTTTCCAGTAAGGGTCGTTATGGTACACGATCCTTCGAAGACCCCATTGAGATCGACCAGTGCACCATGTTTCCAGGGCTAATTCTTCTGATGCCGTCCACGTACGTGGCCACTATGAAGATTTTCTTATAGAATGGAATGCACTCTTTAATAATAAGTTGGAACCGTTCGGTCTGAGTTGAGTAAAATGTGCTTAAATCCATCTGGAAGTGGAGGCAAAATGTCTTTTTTTTTGGCCCCCCTGTATATTTAATTGCAGTTGTTCAGCGGGATGTGCGAACGCGCAAAATAAATTGCAAAATTTGTCATTCACAGGGCATCGCGAACTTGATCATTTCTCTTCTTGACATACCGGTTTTTCTGTCTTCCTCACAAGCAGCCTCTACACCACATTCAGGCCGACATTTTGAAACAAACGTCTCCCTGTCCTGAAAGGCCCTTGGTAGGGCAACCGTAACTTGCCCATTCGATATGCTGATCACGAAGGTCACCTTGTCACGACCCTGTTTTCACCAAAATCGGTGTAAACATTCTGTATAGGGGTTATTTGGTGCCCTGATTACGAATGTGACATTCGTTTTTGGCATTAACGTTGTTCAACGCATATTTCTCGGTTGGAGAGCGCAGAAGAGCGTAAAACTGGCTCCAAAAGGCCTATGCGAAAGTTAACGGGAGACGGTCAAGAGCGACCGCCGCGCCAAAACTAGGTCACCGCGCGCGACGTCGCCGGTGTTTCTGCAATTTGCCGAGTTCAGGACCCCTCTCCAGACGATCGATACAACGCTTTCCTGTTCCCTCTGTGTAGGCCCCATTCCTGCATTTGTTTCAGCTTAGTCCTAGCAACTTGATGATGCGTTTCAAGCTGGATATGGTAGATAGCCGCCGCGTGCGGTGACCTGCTTTCGCTTGCGCGGCGACCTCAGGGGGACTCTTGTCTCGCATCTAGGTTTTCACCAGTTGGCGAAAGTGTGTACGTGACAAGGTGACGCCACCTGTTCGCCAGATGCGCTACGCGCCAGAAATGAATGTCTTTTTCTTACTCAGTGACATCGATTACCTAGCGCAAAATTTATGGTAATTTCAAGGTATGAATTCTTACTGCACGAGCGGCGATGTCTTATCTGTGATATCGGCGCGGGCTTATCTACCGGAAATTAGGGTACGCGATAAGAGGTGGGTGGGGGTAAAGGACAGGGTGAATATCAGTCGAGGAAATCCTTGACAGGGGAGTCGTATTTGTCGAGGTGGGTCATGGACGGGTCCTACTTCTGGGAGTCAGTAACGACTAGCTCTATCTAACCCTACCACATTCTGCTGCAAAGGTTTGTAAAATGGGGAAGGGTTGGGGTTGTATCCGAGCCCCGATTTTAGGGAAGAATCGATGCTGCGCAGAAGAACGTCTCAACATGATTTTTTGGCTTGGTAAAAGATGTGGGACATATTTTGAGGACTGAGATTTTTTAGTTAATAACGAAGCTGTGAACGTAGGAATGTGCTGGGACTATTTCCAAAAACCTCATGCTCGATAGTATTTGTACTTCTCACCCCCCTCCTTCTTTCACTCCAAGGGTTTAGGAAGTATATCGGAGTATGGAGTATGGAGTATGGAGTGTGTCACCCAGTACTAAGATTGAACACGGTCATGGTGATGTGGTGGTGGAGGGGATGGATGATGGTGTAAGAAGTCGTATGCTATCAAAGCCACCTGCAAGCGTGGTGGATGATGGGAAGTCGTGAAATTTTGGAGTTGGCCGGCCGAATGCGACGATGACTTCGCTCTCTTCCTCCCTTCCCTCCCCCTCCCCCCCCCACCTCTTCTCCATAGGTGATTGTAAGCGTACCTTTTCATCCGCTTTGCACTCTCACCGGCCAGAAAGTAGTAAAGGCATTGCTCCAAAGAAGCGAATTCGTGAGCTCGAAGATTTTCAATACCTGAAATTGACATAGCAATAACTCATTTAGCACTTCCTGGTTATGGCAAAAACTTACTAGTCAAATTTTGCAGCATATACTGGCATGGATCAAGCTCGTCTGATGACGTCGCTCGAGCCTGAAATCGCTGGGAACGTTTAGATTCAGTTGCTAAATAACTCTTATTCGATCTCAGTGAAATGTTGGTCAAAATCTACTGGTTGACTAAAAGTGATGTGCACTCAATGGCCAAATTAATCCATCAATGCAAAAATCTTGTGTATTATTTGGCCCTAAACAGCATCACATAAACCAAGGCGCATTCTAAATGTGAGCGGGGCGCCTGGCGTAGCCCAAAAGGGAATGAGCGCTCACATAAACGTATCTCTGCTCCACAAACATGTATCATATCATCGCGTTGTGCTGCTTACAGAATCAATCATTTTTAGGTCACCTCCCTAGAGTTAAGCGGTTTTGCAATTCTTATGCGAATGCGCAAAATTTTGATTCTCTAAGGCACGAGTTGGGATCGCATTGATGTGTCGCCTTGTTTGCAAATTATAAAGCAAAAAGCATCATAGAAAACAATGAAATTTCCCTTGTGAGGCCGGCCGTGGTAGAAGGAGGGACGTAGGAGAGGGAAAACGTGAGAGAGTACGTCGTAAGTGAGAGGGCGCAAACACCACGAATGTCGCGATTGATAGAGCGGCAGTGCCGGCAGCATACAATGCAAGCGCCTTTGCTGCGCATTTTTGAGTCGCGTCTCCTGAGCTTGAGGACCCCTCTTTCTCACTCTACGAGGAGCTACTTCTTGGCAACTGACCACGATCCGTGGCTTCAAAAGCAGGAATCAGGATTAAATTGATGGGTTGATCCCACTCAAATCTGAAAGAAGGGTTGGGAGGTGGAATGCCAATGGAGAAAAAAGATAAGAAAAGCC